AAAACCCACTCAAGAATTTTGATAAATAACACTTGATTGGCCATTAAATTTATGATTTTAATTAACTGGTTAGAAGTTTTTCAAATATCATATATTTTCTATATCATAGTCGAACCAAACCCCATCAACAGTTCTAACATGAATTTGGGATAAGTGAACTGCAATCTATTTCAGAAATCTGAAATTGCAGCTCCCTCCTAATCTACTAGTAGCTCCCCTATAAACCGCATCCTATCCATGAATTTGGCATTAATCCACGGGCAGGATAGAGTCCACCCCTAGAAATCTTAGCTCCACCCTAGGGGTGGACTGAACTATAAAAACCCCTTAGTTTTTTATTTGTACGCAGCTATGAAACAGATAGATGCATGGACTTTTCAATAGTTGTACTCATCCATAAAACTATGGGTGGGCCTTATTAATTCGTTCTATCGGTTCAACCATCCAATTCAAACAAACAGTCCGTTCTAATTTAAAAAATTAAAAAAATATATAAATGTAAAAAATTAAAAAAATATATAAATGTAATTAAAATAAAAAATGACCAAAACTAATTGTTACCTGGGTCAATGAATTGCTGTCCTAATCAACTATTTTTAGTTAAGAATCATCGAATTAAGGGTGATACGGTACTGGTTGCCTAAACAATTCCCGGATTGAACAGTCTGACGGTTCAGGTGTCTATTTGGTATCGATGCCATTGCTCTAGAAAACGGTGATACATCAGCACCACATCAGAAAAAACAGTGTTCCAGGAAATACATATTTGTTTGGAATCGTTTTTTCATAAAAAATGATGCTCCAAATCACACCTTGGAAATCAAGAAGGCATAAGTTGGAGCAATGCCCAATTTATTGTTTCCTGAAACTGCAGCTCGTTGCTTTTAACAAAGACATGAGATGGCACTAGATAATAGATTCCTCAAGCATTGGTACCAAGCAGAAAATATTAGTGTTGATCCAAAAAATATCCTACATGACAATAACGTTTCCAAACAAATAAAACACCGTTTTTCAAAAAAATCGGTGCTTCCAACCTTTACATCAGCAGCACCGTATCTGCAGAATCGATACTGCATTAGACCAAAAAGACAAAATCCACATAAAATTTCGCCTTGGGCTACTTTTGTAAATTCCCTAGACCTACTGAACATCAGGAAAAGGCTTGGGCATAATTTACTCTCGGGTTTGACCATTTTATGATTTTACACAGAAAAAATTACTGTGAATGATATCTGATAATGAGTATGGGCAAAAAGATATTTACAATTTTACACTAAATACTTTAATTGAAAAGAAAAATGAAGACCTAAATTAATAAGGTATCATATGGAGAGGCCCCAAAACAGCTAAGGCTGTTTTATATGAACAGTCAAAATGGACACTTCCACACAACATCGAGGTTAAGTCAAACCGCACACAGAAATGGGCCGTGTCGTGCCAGGCTGGCATGACACGGCCCGTGGGTGGCCTATGCAAAGTGCAGGCCATGTTGTTTTCCCATGGGATAACTTGGGAGTCGGCCTAGCCTGGCCCACGGCCCAGGTCTATATGGGCTTGTGCCATGCCATGCCGTGCTGTACGTCGGGCTAGTCTGTGGGCCGAATCTTTAGTCAGGTCGGGTTGTACATCGGGCCAAAGTTATTTATTTAAAAATTTGACAAAAAATTAAAATTTTATTTTATATGAATTTTGATATATACAATAATTAAATAAATTAGTATAATAAAATTAAAAAATATTTTTTCTATTAATATATTATTATATAATTATAATTTATATAATATTATATATATATATATATATATATATGTATATGAGTTGTGTTGGGCCGTGCCGGCACGCAGGCCACAGGTGGCACGACCCACTCGGTCATGTTGTGCCAACCCGACCCGTGGACCTAAAATTCCAAGCCCAGCATGGCCCGCACGATCATGCTAAATCTAACACAGCCTGTGGATCATCGTGCTGGGCCGATTCAAATTCATGTCGGGCCAGTGCATGCCATGTTGCCCTCCCTTGGGATAACTTGGGAGTCGGCCTAGCACGGCCCACGACCCAGGTCTATGTGGGCTTGTGCCATGCCATGCCGTGCTTTAGGTCAGGCTGGCTTGTGGACCGAACCTTTAGTCAGGTCGGGCCATACATCGGGCCAAAGCTATTTATTTAAAAATTTGACAAAAAATTTAAAAATTTAATTTTATATGAATTTTGATATATACAATAATTAAATAAATTAGTATAATAAAATTTAAAAATATTTATTCTATTAATATATAATTATATAATTATAATTTATATAATATTATATATATATGTATATGAGTTGTGTTGGGCCATACTGGCACGCAGGCCATAGGTGGCACGACCCACTCGGTCATGTTGTGCCAACCCGACCCGTGGACCTAAAATCTCAAGCCCAGCATGGCCCGCACGATCATGCTAAATCTAGCACAGCCTGTGGACCGTCGTGCTTGGCAGATTCAAATTCATGCCAGGCCGCAGGCGGCAGCCTGATTTACACTTCTACACGAAGCATCGATCTGTTGTCAAAAAGTCAGATAAGGATCACAACATTGATCATCCACCCTAAGTTTTGGCTATCCAATTGTAGCCTTCCTTATCGAACATTGTTGTGGTATCTAAGGCCCCCTATAGTTTAGGTCATTTATTAGAACACTCCCATACTTTTACGGATTTACTTAAACTTACCCTACAATTTTCCTTTACTATAACATTCCCATAATTTGCAACCAATTTATTTAATTGACCTTTCACTAATAGGTATTTGTTTTATCATCTGAAAATTGTAACATGATGATTTAAAGTGATTGGAAAGTGTTAAAGGAAATAGGTTTGTGATTATTTATTCCAAAACTACCCCTAATAATTTTTCATATTAAAATAATATTGATCAAATAAAGTCAAATAGGATGGTTGGTTGCGATTCATTAAGGATAAAAATGATATTTTTATTTTTATTTTCTTTTATTTAAATTTATTAAAATGAATATTAGAATCAAAATTGTCATTTTACATGGTGATGAAGTAAATTGAATGCAAACTCTAAAGGGGGTGCTTTTAGTAAAAAGTAAACTATATCATAGGTTTTAGTGAATCTATGAAAGCAGGGGTATTTTCATAAACAATACTTTAAGCTTTAACTTTTAATTAAGGGTAAAATGGGTAAAATGGGTATTTAGTTTCTGACAATCATAAAAAATTCACCTTTAGTTTCACCTTTAGTTTCACCTTAAAGAAAATGACAAAAACCTCCCTTCTGTCACTTAGCCAGGCAAAAAACGTTAGACTAATGCATCAATATTTTCTAAATACCCATTTTACCCTTTTATAATTCTCTCTCTACTGACCCCCTCTCTCTAGGAGTCAAGTGATGTTGGTTCTTTACACTTCGACTTGTTCTCTCCCTAGCTTCAAAAGTCACGCTCCCTAGTTCCCCACTTCTCTCTCTCTCTCTCTAAGCTTTCAAATGCCCCATCTCCCTTGACATTATGAAATCTCTGGTAACCCTATGTATCAGCATTACTTACAACCGATCCAACATCTAGAAATGGCTCTATAGTGCCAAAAGTAGAGAAATGTTATTTGTTACAATAGGTTTTGCACCAACCGGAGCGCCACTGATGACTTACAAATGCTTAAATCAAGGTTTCAGCAGATGGGTTCCCATTGTTTCAGGGTTTCATTCACCATATACTATTGCTGCCGTTGAAACAACCAAATTAGTGCGGCACTGAAGCAGAAAACAGAGGACCAATCAATAATCTTAAGTCAGAATTTTCAATGAACTGGTAGCACCTAAAGAGTGTGCCCCTATTCCCATCCGTTCCTCTTCTCTCTCCTTTATAACTTTCTGATTGAGATTTCAAAAATTAGAATAGAGAATCCTCCCGTTCTCCCTCTGTGAAATTAAAAATGAAAATTATAAAAAACACAACTTCAATTTCTCCTCCAAAAAGAAGCCAAAAAGCATCCACTATCCACCGCTACATATATCTCTCCCTCCCTGCTTGTTTCATCATCTCTCCTGCTCCCTCGTTTTTTTCCGGGCAACAGCAATGGATGCCATCTCCCTCCATGAATAAAACAACAAAGAGAACATCCCTCCTTTCGTTGCCAACTAGATTAGCCCAAACTCATGCAATCAATCCCTCTTTCACCAATAAAAAATGAGGAGGATCAAAAGGCCTCTCGAGAACATTACCCATCTCATCTATCCATTAGTTTGATGATGCAGTTCAGTTGTTGACTTTGATATTCTTTTATAGGTAATACAGATGCATAGGCTTACGAAGATTTCATGACATTAAGGGAGATGGGGCATTTAAAAGCTCAGAGAGAGAGAGAGAAAAGGAGGGAAAAGAAGGGAGTAATTTACAAAGAACGGATCAAAGTGTGAAGAAGCTGTGTCACTTGACTCCTAGAGAGAGGGTCAATAGAGAGAGTAATTTACAAAATGTTGATGCATGGATTTAACGTTTTCCGTTTGAGTCAATGACCAAAGGGAAGTTTTTGTCGAATTTTTTTTTTTTTATTCTAAGGAGATTTTGTTAAAGTAAAATTAAAGGAGAGGATTTTATGATTGTCAAAAAATTTAGGGGAGGTTTTTGTATTTTATCCTTTAATTAATGCTTATTGACTATGCCCCCGGTATTTTACCCTTTAATTAATGCTTATTGACTATGCCCCCGGGCCCGGGGTGAAGAGTAAACCAGGTTCTCCAAATGAAACGTGGCCTAAGCTGGGGAGGCGACCATGATCGGGTGGTTGCCAACCCGATGGTCCCGACCCACCCGTCAATCAATTTCAATTTCATCAATTATTTTGCTTTCTACACAACCTCCCCCCCTCTCTCTCTCTCTCTCTCTGATTTCATTCTCTTTTTCTCAACTACCACCTTCCAACCATCAACCATCTACTTACCACACACTCTTTGATTGCCAGTAGCCCTCTCTCCCTCTTCCCTCTTTAAATACATACACATGCACACACATCTATCTCATTGCTTCCAAAGAAACCGAAGTACCGAAAATCTTCTCTCACTCACTTCCTTTCTCTTTGGGTCTGAGACACTTAAACAAATGGCACCAGCAGCGGCTTCCTTCCCTGATTACGATACATTGAAGACTGTCTGCGTCATGGACGCTTCTGGCCGCTTAGGCTCCAGCCTTGTGGATCGTCTCCTTCAAAGGGGCTACACCGTCCACGCCGCTATCCAGAACCATGGTGAATTTCTTTCTTTCTTCATCTTCTGCTTTATAATCACACTTACGTCTGTTCTCATCCTCTCTTGCGTGGATTGTTTGTTTCAGGTGATTTGCAATTCGAAGCGGGAATTTCTTCCGATAATAGCAAGAATCTGAAAGTCTTCCACGCAGATCCGTTTGACTACCAGAGCATCATAGATGCTTTGAAGGGCTGTTCTGGCTTGTTCTACACCTTCGAGCCTCCCCAGTACCAGCCCACCTTCGATGTATGTGCCTCTACTGTTCCTTTGCAATTCCCCACTTCCACTTCCACACACAATCATTCATTCACACTTAAATTCCAGTTTTCAAGTTTCACCTTTTCCAAATTTCCACTGATATTGAACTAGAGGACTTATTTGGTATTTGAAGCTTTATTTTATTTTATTAACGTCAAGTTGACAAGTACAAACGAACCGTGTTGGGCCGATGACTGGCACACGCCATGTCCCATGTGCTGTCTAAGTGTCTATGATTCGTCAATGAACCTTCTGCCAAATGGCACGTTCTTATTCAATCGAACCTGGGTTGATGCTTGGGTTCCAACCGGACGGTTTTTAAGTGATGTTCTTGTAAATCTAATTCTGTTCCCACCCCACGCAATAAGAGAAGGGTGCATTAACACGGAACGCAAGGCTAGTTTCGTAATAAAAGAAGAAGCCTTTTATTAACGCTATTTCTTGGGGTTTGGTGCAGGAATTCATGGTGGAAGTAGAGGTGAGAGCGGCGCACAACGTGTTGGAAGCGTGCGCACAGACGGATACGATAGACAAGGTCGTTTTCACGTCGTCGGTGACGGCCGCCGTCTGGCGAGAAGAGCGCGGCAAGTCAGCTTCCGATTTCGACGAACGGAACTGGAGCGACGTTAATTTCTGCCGCAAGTTCAAGGTACCCAAAATATCCAAGCCAATCACGTTTTGTTTATGATTATGAAGGATATTTTCGTCATTTCATTCGAATTCAAAATTCTCCGGCTGATATATACGTTCACCGTGTGATCTCGATCAGCTGTGGCACGCGCTATCGAAAACGGTAGCGGAGAAGACGGCGTGGGCGCTGGCAATGGACAGAGAGCTCAACATGGTGACCATCAACGCGGGACTGTTGACGGGGCCCGAGCTGTCGATCACGAATCCGTACTTGAAAGGAGCAGCCGAGATGTACGAAGATGGGGTATTCGTGACCGTGGATCTGAAGTTCTTGGTGGATGCCCACATCTGCGTCTACGAAGACATCTCATCGTACGGGCGTTATCTGTGCTTCAACCATGTAATCAATCGTCCGGAAGACGCTGTCAAACTCGACCAGATGTTGACCCGCCCTTCTTCTCCCTCCGCTCTACCACAAAGGTGAAATTTTCCGTCTTCGATGGTATTTCTGTCCTTTCGCAGGCCCTTAAAAAAATCCACAAAGTTTGTTGGCTATTTGCACGACCATCCATCAGGCCACGTGTATGTCCTTGCGTGCAACAGTTGAGAAAGGAGAATTTGCACGTGTCCTGGGATTTACGTGTCCAAATGGATTGATCTTCTCGATGACATAATCACCGTAAATTTGTCTAAAATTATGTGGATGTGGTTTTGTATACACTATACAGGTGGCAGGATACAAGGATATTCAAGCAAAGTATCAGCAACAAGAAACTGGGCAAGCTGATGGTGAACTTTGATACCGGAATCCACGTGGAGTAAAGTCTGTAAAGATGATGGTGATGCAACAAGTCGGTAACCAACAGCATCGGGAATGTACACGTCATCAGTTTTCTTCTTGTATTATTATTATTATTTGTTTTATTCCAATAAAACAATTGTGTACATGTATGTGTATCGTCACCTGACCATTAATGGCCAAGAAGCCCTTTTCTCTGCAACGAAACGTATCTTGCAAATTCGCAGCAAATAAATAAATATATTACAAATTAGGTGAAGTGTAGGAATTGGGAAATCAGTAAGTTCAGTAACTACTGTGGGAATGGGGAAATTAGCTCCTTCATGGCAATTCCGGGCTTGGGCTAGGTTAAGGCCGGGCTCGGGCCCGCTAATAGACGGTGTTTGAAACTCTAATCCATTCAATCATTCAAAAAATTCGATTATGACATCGGAAAGACGAGTCTGGATCTCCCTTATGCACGGGGAGGTAGTGTGTGTTGTGGGCAGGAGATCCGGAGTCCGGAAAGATATGATATCCAAAATAACTTCGAATGAATCAATTGGATTTATAAATATGTTAGTCAATAAGATTCAGTTTGCAAAGAGTATAAGTGCAAATAAATAATATATAAATACAAGCAAAATAATATAAAATATAAGGTTTTGCATTCTACTATTTACACTTGTACTCCTTTCATGAAATTATCGAGTTTACTGAACCTTCCTTTTCAGTAAGGTTTACCAATATTTTTGACCGTGATCAAATTATAGATAAGAGCCCTGGTTGGTTGACGTGTTATTCCACGTCAACCGCGGGGAGTTATAAAGGTTTACCGGTGGATTACCTACGTGTCAAATGCTGCCTTACATATAGGAAGTCAAACAGGACAACCCTATCGTCCATCTCAAAAGGACATTTCACGTTGGAGTAAATTTGTCAGATTGTTCAGATTGTTCCTTATACTTAGTCGGGAAACTGATGGTGCACGATCTGGTAATTCTTGTTGGTAGATAGCTTAGACTCGAACTGAGTAGGTCATTCGTCGCCTAGTCGAGTTATAAGAAAGTGATGATCAAAGTGTCCAGGTTGTTTTATTTAGGGTGGACACTTCGATACTTAATTCAGTGAAGAGCTTTGAGAGAGTTAAAAGTGAGAAAAATAGAGAGATAGTGAACTACGAGAGCTAAATTGCACGTACTTTTTCTATGAATAGGGATATCTCTATATAGGCTAGCTACTCTAAGGCTCACAAAGCGTGTTTGAGATTTCCAACCCATCTGGTTTGGAAGTGGTTTCACGCCGAGAGATGGACTCCGCGTAAGTGGACAGTGTCTACCTAGTACATCCAAAGAGGGTGGGGTGATAACCAGCTCTTCCGATGTGGCGTCATGATCCCAGGGAGGTCAGAGATGATAACCCACTGAATAAGGAGGTCGCCCGGCACATCAGGAAGGTCACTAGCAAAAAAGGGGCCAATTTGCTCAACAGGAAACCGAGCTCAAATGCTCAGAGTACAATCTTCTGCCTCTCTTCAAGAGCCTACATGACGATGCTACTCTACGCCTCCTCCATTTGGCGAGTCAGGCTGGACGATGCATCGAGGAACCATCAGTGATCTTCCTGAGCTTCCAACCGAGCACTTTCTAGCTGTGACCAAAGGGATTTGATCTGTCATCATCTACGTGTTGTCACGCTCCATAATGATGGCGCGGTCATATAAAGCCCGGGTCATACAACTCGCCTGCAAAAAAGAAAGAGTTAGCAAGGTGAATCTACACGAAGACCAAGTATTGAAGGGCCGGTACTTACCGACAGCGCGTCCCAGAATATCGAACTACCAAGGTTGGCAACACTCCACAAACAGAAGTCCCTCCCATCCTTAGGAAGAAGAATTTCGATGCTCACCTCGAAGGCGACGCGAAGGTCTCGGATACTATCCGTAGCGGTGACATCCCAATTTGGGAGGTAGACCTGCCGGCGCAAACTGGATCCCTCATAGGTAGACTTGCTCATGGGCCGGGCCGGGCGGGGCTCGAGCCGAACTTTCACTCTGTATTAACAAATTTTTCTAAGGCCCGAGTCCAGCCCTTATAAAAAGCCCAAAGCCCAGGCCTGGGCCCAAGCCCGAAATTTAGCCCATGCTGTTACTACTACTAAAGCGGCTAAATAGAGAGACAGAGAGAGAGAGAGAGAGAGAGAGATTATAAAGAAAAAATAAAAAATGTATATATTAAATTATAAATATATATTTCAATAAAAATTATATTATTTATATATTTTATATAATATATAAAATACATATTATATATTTTATATAATATATAAAATACATATTATATATTTTATAAAATATATAATGCTTAGTCAACCCCGACCTGAAACACAATCGGGCTTACTGTGTTAGGCCCGAGGTCAGGCCAGCGGGCCTAATTACATGACCAAGCCTGACCAGGGTACGGATCGGGCCATCGGGCTACCTGACCCATGAACAGGTCTACTCATAGGTGATGTTGAGAAACATGCACGTCAGGGGTGGAGCAAACTAACTAGAAATGTTCACAAGGTCGATAGAGGTCAGATTGACGTGATCGTTGTCGATGTCCACCCTGTCGAGATCCCTAACCGGCAGCCTTTCTACAGCTTCTTACTCTGTCTCCAAAGCATGAGTAGAATCGGACGCCATCCTCTTCTTTTGAGGAGCCCTCCTCATCACAAACAGAACAAAAGTTGTGTCCAACGTACCTACTAAAAGGAGAAAGCAATCTGGTCAGATCAGGGCATCAAAAGAGAGTAGCATGGTAAAGTAACATGCTGGCGACCTACCCATGGGACTCAGTCCGACCGTAACAAGCATCGGTTCGACTAAGAACTCATCAGCCCAGGTGTGTTGCTCAAAGGCAAACAAAACTTGGTCCACTACCTCACCGTCAAACTCAACAGGACGGATCTTCCTTGCCTCACTCCTCCAAGTGGTATCCATGGGCCAGCTGTCCTCCTAGGATAGGAAGAAGTACATTGACTTCTAATCCACCACCTTTGTAGGGAAGTTGCTCAGCAACTTGTGGCCAGGTCGGTAGCTCTGATAAAAACAATAAGGCTCTTGATACATTTTCTTTATTTCATAGAGCCCATGGAAAATATCAAAGTTGAGCCCGAAACTGAGGTGGAAACAGACGGATATCATCCCTACCTGTGTCCCAATAGAGTTCGCGTGAAGCTGCCCTAAGGAGATGTTGTAGTGTGACAACACCTCGCAAATAAAAGGGTGCACTGGGAAACGAAGCTTGGCGATAAGTGCCTCTTTTAAGGAAACATATTTCAATTCGTCCATGGTTCCAAGGACGTTGATCCTCTCCGTGCAAAATGAAACCATAGGATTTGGGGATTTGGAAGGTCGCCACCAAGGCAATCAATTCTTCCCCGCTCAGATTGGTAGGTCCGAACTCCAACCTAGTCTTATGTTGTTGAAATTTTCCCTATTTCCCCCGATCCCCGTGGGGATCCACCCTGAATGGGGCGGGGATGGGGATGATTTCCTCCCATGGGGATGGGGATGGGGAAATATTAATATTTTAAAAAATATGTATTGATGTATAGATGTATAGATGTATGCATATGTTATATATGTAGATATGTACACATACATCTATATATTAATATTTTAAAAAATATGGTTGAATATGTTCGAATCTTTTCTAATAGGATTGCAAATTTTAATTATTTTAATTTTATTTTTTTAAATACAATAAAAAACAAAAATAAAATGGTTAACATTATAAAAAATCATAGGGAATGGGGATCCTCGCGGGGATGGAGATCCCCATGGGGACAGGGATGGGGATAACCTTGTTCCCATTAGCAAGGATGATGATGGGAATTTTCGTGGATACGGGGATCCCCACCCACCAGGGATACTCCCTTTCCAACCCACTAGACATAGTGTGGATAGCAAAGATTCACCAGAAATTGAGAGAAAACCAACCTTGCTGGAAAACCGAAATCCTCCATGAGCTACTCGAGATCTCAATCAAGAAGACCTTAAGAAGACTCCAAACAGTGCAGTGGGGATCCGTTAGGGGGGGGCCCTGTTTATAGTGAAAGCGCCCTCAGATCGATGACGGAGATGCACCTTATCTAATGACCCAGAAAGAAAGCGCACCATTCAGAAAAGGTGACAAGTTTGAAATTCGAATTCATGTGCCATTTAGCGCTAGGCAGTGAATTGGAAATTCAAAATTTTGTGCCCCGTTCAGCCACCTCAGCACTTGATAGCAAGATTCAAAATTTGAACTCGCACGCCACCAAAAAAAATTTTGGCACGCGTGGCAACTCACTCTCCAGGCTGAGTGGGCGAATCAAACCAAGCTTACAAGGAACCAAACCAGTCACCACGTAAGCAAGCCTCGGGAGTGCCTTGAACACCTCGGCACCACCTCGATAGACCAAACTGCAAATGACAATATAAGACTTCAGGTCAGCGTAAGAGGTGACTTGCTTATGCCGACCTGGCTTGAGTTCAGCTAGCGACTTGCCTGATGTGTTGGGCGACATCATTCAACGAGTTATCATGTCCGACTTCCTCGGGATCACGACACCACGTTGGATAAGCTGGTTATCATCCCGCCCGCTTCGAACGTGACTTGATAGACACTAATCACTTACGCGGAGTCCATCTCTAGGCGTGAAACCACCTCTGAACCAAATGGGCTAGAGATATCGGACGCGCTTCAGGAGCCTCACGGCAACTAGCCTATATAAAGGCATCCTCATTCACAAAAAAGGTACATGCGATTTAACTCTCACAGTTCATTAGCACTCTAATTCTCTCGCCTCAGAGTGCCCATTCCGAGTAAAGCAACTCGAACACTCTAATCATCACTTTCTTGCAAATCGACTAGGCGACCTACTCAGTCCGACATCTGAATTATCTACCAACAGAGAAAACCAGATTGCGCACCATCAGAAACCATCAGAGTGCATGTTCAATTTGAACGCCTCCATCACTTCTATACTTTTGCGCCAGAGTGGGTCATGATCGAAGGGTGTAGAATAAAACACTGATTGAATTCTGCCATTCATGACTGTGTTGACGTTGATTTGTTTCAAAGGTTTAAAGCTTTATCTGTAGATAGACTATCAGAAGATATCAGAGTGATTCCACCTTGTCATGCTAATATAGATTTCAGAGGTCGTTTGCAAGGGCGAAGATAGGAATTTTTT